TGCCCAAAAACGCAGTTACAGTAGAACCTCAGTTAGCAAAGGCTCCAGTTAAGAAAAAAATTGATTAAAAACAAAGAATATTGATTACATTTACCTTGCTCAGCAAAAAAATTTCACTTATCGAAAAATTAGTGCATCATCGGTCATCACAAAATTGTGCATAGAATGTCATATATAGAATTGTGCACCAGGCATCATAGAATGAAAAGTGATTGACCTGAACTATGATTTATTTGTCAAAACATATGATGGTGGTCACTAAAACATTCCTTTCTGTTTTAGGTAAGTTTTTCATGATCTTTTTAGGGCAATTTCTCATTTATGGAAAAAATGCACTATTGTGCTCGCCATGTCCGTCTGTCACGTCATTTTTTTGTCAACGAGAAAATGCAATCTCTGTCACTCACTGCAGTGAGTACTGAGTTATATTTTTTTAGAATAAATTCGCTTGACCCAATTAAAATGGTGTGAAATTACTAGCCATCCTGTAAGCTTACAGATACAGAAAAAATGCTATAAGGCTGCTGATATGCAGTGGACAAGGCTGCTGCTTGCAGTGGGGGTGGTTAGTTTAGTGGTCAAATGTTTACTAGCACTTCAGCTATTTAGCTATCTTGCACCGAAAGTCAAGATGAACATCACCATAGAGGTGGAAGGTCTCAATTATTCATCACCCACAAGGGGCAGAAGGTCTCAATTGTCCAGCCCGCTGAAGGTGGCTTGAAAGAAGCAGCTGTAGCATCTCAAAGAGTCGAAGTGACAAGGAGGGACAGGTGAAAAGCAACAGAAATGAAGACACTCGAACAAGAGGTTGCTTACACGGGACATCGGCTGCCCGCACAAGAGAGACAGAGAAGGGAAATGTAAGGAATCCTACCTACTTGATAACAACCCCACAACTGAGACCTAGTCAGACACCGCGAACTCAGCGGTGGGGCGCTCAGGAACAATCCCCCTAGGAACGCGAAATCCCATAGGACTTCTGACGAGCACAGACACGCAACAGAAGTCCCCCCCTGAGGGGGCTGCTTGCAGTGGACAAGGTTGTTGTAAATGCTCAATGGCATGTTCATGGATACGGTAATATCGCATCAATAATACGGTAATTAATGTATATGGTAACAATGGTAACATCATATCGATAAATGAAAAAGAAGTAAAAATCACAGAAAATGTCATTTATTCTATCTCTACATCTTCTACAATGAAAGAGGAGGACTTCAGAGTACTGTTAGTAGTGGATGAGTACACTCTGCATGCTTAAAATGTTTTGAAATGAAGTTTTATTCCAGGTGTCCCGAGTAGCCCCGTTCGACGGGGCTACTCGGGACACTCATTTTTTGCTTCTGGCACCTTACAAATACCGTCAAATGGAGTAAAAAGGGACGGGCAAGGTAAATAGAAACGGGCATCCCATATTTCGTAGAAATGTTATAGCAGCTAAACTAATCAAAATATTGCAAAACTAAAAATAGTGGTGTAAACTTCAAAATTTTGACTACGGTATCTATTATGTATAAAGCTAGTCAAGAAATCAAGCATATACTATCTTTTAAAAATCGTTGAAAATAGTGTGAAAAGTGCGATTTTGGAAAAGTACCGAGCTGCTAAGGTCTGGAGCAAAAAAATATTTGCCATATTGTTCCCGTGTATGCTGCGGGGGGATTAACTTGTAACCCACTTAAGTGAAGCTGAATTAGTCTAATAATGGTGTAAGTAAAGAGTTGCCAGAAGAGTTCTGCTTTATTATGGGATTTTAAAATACAACTGACATGCCGATGAATGTACAGAGACAATATTGCCTATAGTGCTTTAGGTCTATGGGACTTGGTGCTTGGTAACTAGTGATATGGAATAGGGAGCACAGGATGGGCAATGGCACATAAGGTCCTCAGACAGCTGAAAGATATAAAAATTACAAATGAAATATACTGAGCATAATGTGGCTATGATACAAAACAGGTTACAATCGATCATGCCTAAGTTTAGAGATTACCTTGAAGCAATCATGCTACAACTGAATAATGAACAAACATTTAGGAAATTAAAGACTGATAATTTAGCATAGTAAGTTAGATTGCAAGAGTTATTGGTGCAAAAATCATAATTAATAAACACAAAGCAAACAACATTGGAAGTAGATTTGACACAATAATGCAAGTTATTATATAGGTAAAGTTATAGTTAGTTATATAGGTAAAACAAGGACCGCATCACCATTATGTCTATGAACACTTGCAACAAAGTTTACTAAATTTTGGTAGGGTTGTGCTCAATTAATACAGATAAATAATGCAACGGTTAAAAAGATGTGAAAAATGCAGTATTACGGAAGACATACATATATATATACATTATTAGGAACAGCTTCACTCACCCAACAGTATTGCAGAATTAACTTGATGCATTTAACTGTCTTGGCAGCATTTTAGTTACTGAATTAAACTTGGCTTGAATGGAATTTAATTATTACCTCTGTTCTGAAACGATATGAAACAAAAGGATGCATTGAGTATGAAAAGTGGTTAATGACACAGATGGGTTGAGTGGAGAAAAGCAATAATGCCTTCTGGCAACAATATTCAAAGATTTTACTTGCATAAATTTGCACCCAGGTGTTGGCTTGAAAACGTAATTGACAGAACTTGCCCATCTCATTAAAAAAAAATGGCAGCCATTTCCGTGTGACAGGGTAAAAAGGGACACCCCCCGAGGTAATTAGGGACACCCTTAAAAATGCATTTACAGTAGAACCTCAGCTAGCAAAGGCTCCAGTTAACAAAAAATTAATTAACAACAAAGAATTTTGATTACATTTACCTCATTTGGTGAAAAAAATTCACTCATCAAAAAATTAGTGCATCATCGGTCGTCACAAAATTGTACATAGAATGCTATATATAGAATTGTGCACCGGGCATCATGGACTGAAAAGTAATTGACCTAAACTATGATTTATTTCTTCAAAACATATGATGGTTGTCACTAGAACATTATTTTCTGTTTCAGGTATGTTTTTCACGATCTTTTTTGTTATAGTAAAATCACTAGACTCAATTAAAATTGTGCGAAATTACTAACCATCCTGTAAGCTTACAGACACAGAAGAGATGCTACATGGCTGCTGATATGAAGCTTGCAGTGGACAAGGTCATTGTCAATGCTCAATGGCATGTCCATGGATACAGTAATGTCATATCAATAAAGAAAAACAAGTAAAAATCACAGAAAATGTCATTTATTTTACATCTACATCATCTACAATGAAAGAGGAGGACTTCAGAGTACTGTTAGTAGTTATTTCTTGTGTCCCTTTTTACTCCATTTCCAGATTAATTCAGGGTTCATTTATATTGCATCTAGAACCTTACAAATAGCATATAGAATTTTTTTGGAGATGCCATATGATAGCCCTTGCAAAGACCTTTAAAATGAGCCCAAACTTGTTTCTGAAATGTTTCATGGTAAGAAGTTATCAACAAAAAATGCTCAAAACCGTCCCTTATTACCCCGTTTGACGGTAGCATATGGAATTTTTTTGGAGAAGCCATGTGATAGCCGTTGCAAAGAGCTTTGAAATGAGGCTAAACTTGTTTATAAAATGTTTTATGATAAGAAGTTACGAATGAAAAACAATCGAAATCGTCCCGAGTAGCCCTGGTTGATGGTATGTACAAACATTTACTGATAACATTCAATAATTAAAATTTAGGACTGAGATGCGTGGCAAGAGTATTCCTTTTACTCACCTATTTAAAGAGCCAAGAAAAGCATTATCAGCAGTTCAGCAACAGGTCAGTCTTGATATCAGCATAGCCAGAAAGCAGGTTCATTTATTGCAGCAGGTTAGTCAGCAAAAGGCACTAGGTCAAAAAAGCAAATCTGCCTTGGTCAATAACAACCCATGAAGAAGATGACTTGGCACAAAAATGACTAACTGGCTTTAGTATTCCACTGATCTGAATCAATCTAACATTCAAACACTGGGGACAAAAAGAGAGAATTAATTGAAAACACTTGATAAAGTTATTTATTGTTCTTTTCCATACTTTGGCCCTGCGTCTGAAGCTATGTCAAGAGAATTAAAAGTCTTATTCAATAGATACTTCCCAAATGTCAATTTCCATATTGTGCTGGTAAACAATTTAGATATAAAGATATGCTCCCTGTTCATATATGATCATCCCTGGTTTATCAATATTGTTGTGCACGATGTGCATGTGCGTCCTTTGGGATGACGTCATGCAATATTTATTCCAGGGTCTCTGAGCATAAGGGCAGGAGTTGTAGAACCGGACAGTTGCTATCGCCCCCCCCTCATTCGGCTGTACACGCTCACGCCAAGCAGTGTGATGTCCCTGATCTGACAGTGACTTTAGGGTGTTAGCTTCCACCTCTGGGACTTCCGATTTGCGCATGTTAGAATCATTGTACATCATTAAACTTAGGCCCAGTTTGAATTCAGCTGTTAGCTCCTATCCCCTAGAAATTGTTAATAGATAGTTTTTTTGCTCCTTCTAATACTTGTATATTTAAGTTTCAATTTCATTCTGTGCTTTCAATGTATTTATTTGTGACTTGTGATTTGTGATTCTAGATTCTACGAACTGACAATTGAGCTGGTTTTCAAAACATTTTCTATAAGATATGAATTTTTGTGGATTTTTCTTTGCTTTTAAATTCTTGATGAAATTTTCTTAATAGATTAATCCTAGATTTAATTGAAATAAGCTACTTTTCAGATATGTTTTTAAGACTAATTTTCAGCTGTGCTAGTCACAGTAGGGCTGCCAGTCATTTTGCATCAGATGTTATGACCAATCATTGTGTTGGTTTATTTATTAAAAGCACAAAGTCTAAAGTGAGTGGATATTTATAACATATTTGAACTGTTCTTGCGTATTTTGTGTGACTTGGTAGCTTCTGTGTTTTTTGCCATTTACAGAGTTATTCTCAATGACAATTGTAAAAGAAGTTTTAATTATTGCAAGACATCTAAATGCATTAAATCTTGAAAGGGAATAATTGATTAAAGTGCAAATCTTTTTATTTTTCAGATAATTTATTCAGGTCGCACTTTAGTCAGTATGGCTGTGCCGAAGGGAGTTATTGGTAATTGGGATTTGACCAAATGTACCCCGGCACAAATAGAGGAAGATACAAAAAATCTCATTGCTGACTTAACAAAAATTGCAGACCAAGTTGGTTCTGTCCCTTTGGACAAGGCTGACTATGAAAAAATTGCAAAGGTAAATAAATTGCATTGTATGTATGGTTAATTCAACCCTTTGTTGCATGGAAAATAGCAGATTGAGTATTTACTTGATACTTGAGAGGTGCTTTGATAGCAAGTGCTGTGAAGTGCATTGTTGAGTTGTAAACAATGCATGTTCATTGCTTGTCTGCTAGGAAAAGTTTAGAATTGCAGCCATGAAGTATTGATATATAAAAATTTCTGTGAAATTGCAATATTTAAAAACTATTCAAACAGTATTAAGACTTTGCATTGCAATATTTTTCCTACTATATTACACCATCATATACATGCTAAAAAAAATGTGTTGCTCTATGCCATTTTTACAAATCTTCTTTGGTAAATGATATATATTTTCTTTCTTCTTTTACTTAGCAATTTATTCTCTGGAAAACTAGTGAATGACATTAATGCTGTTGATTTAATCATACCTTCTAGTAATGGTTGACATTTATCATTTAATTTTGATATTCTAATAAGTAAAAATGATCTATCAAATTAGATTGCCATTTATTCTAACAGAAATGATAAAAAATAACAAAATTCTATCAATGGGAATAAATAAATCTTATTTGTTGGATTATTGATTATGTACGTGCATGCATCTTGCATACTTGTTCTCTAATAACATTTCATCTCATTCCATTATAAAGCCTTTAGAGGAACTACAACGTGTGTTTAGGACGCGTGGAGCCGTACTGGACATGCCTCAGCACTGTGTTGCTGACAAGTTGGTCAGAGATGCATCTTCAAAAGCAGAGGAAAAAATGGAAGAATTTGATGTTGCTCTCAAGTAAGTGTATATCAGTTTGTAAACTGTACTCTTTCCTATACACATATTCAATTATCAGAATAATTTAAGGGCAGTTTAGTTCATGATGTTTGAACAGCTTTGATTGATCTCATTTAACCACCTATTACAAAGTTTTTCTACAGACTGCAAAATACTTGCTTGAAAATAAAAATTAATAGCATTATCATGTTATCTTGTCAAATTGTAATTTAATTTAAGAATTATGTTTATTCAATGCAACTCTTTCTTTATTCATTGCAGTTTTTATTTTAGCTTCACTGCCAATCATTTCCATAGGATTTTCACAAGAGTAGAGTATACTATATCTTAATAAATGCTCATTAAATTTTCTCTGAACAGCATGAGGAGCGATATATTTGAGCGGCTCCTGCAGGTGCAAAAAAGTGATCTGGCAAGTCTTCGGGCTGAACAGAAACGATTCGTTGAGAAACTCATTGTTAAAGGGAAAAGATATGGTGAGTGATGCCAAATTTCATAATCCCTTGAAGAGTAATCATGAATGTTATTCATGCAATGTTTACTTATCACTTTTCTCATGCCTGATTACCATATGGGAGCAATTACGCTGCTTTCTTTGTATGTGCTCCTTTTCCTTGAATTTTGGTTACAAAGTACTAGTAGCTGAAGGGACTGAAATTCCAAAAATCGAAAGGTATCAAACTGAATCTCATTTTATGAAACCATCAATTCAGCATTTTGTAAATCTTCATTTCATTTAATGTGTTCTAATGGTTGATTGTCAAAAATAGAAGAATTTCTTTTGTATTTTCTTCCTTGCATTTGCAGGATTGCATTTATCACCTGAAATTCAGACTAAAATCAAGGAGCTTAAAACTAAGGAGTCTGAACTGAGTATAAAATTCAGTTCAAATCTAAATGAGGATGACACTAAGTTGTACTTCAAGAAGGAGGACCTTGTTGGACTGCCTGAAGATCTTATCAAAGAGTTTCCAGAGGTAAGCTATCTTATCAATCAACTCTATTGGCCATTGGTTCATTAAACAGGATTCAGGGAATAAATTGGATTTTCAAAGAGATGAGTCCTCATCGGAATTCTCCTACATTCCCTAATATTATGATAATTTTATTTTTGAATGCTTGGCAGTTTATGGTGGAAGTTTTCCAAGTAAATTCCATCATTTAAAATTCAATGCCTTTCTTCTGAAGTAAATTTAAGTGTACCTTCATTTTGCCTCCTAGTGCTTGGATTACTACTACTGCATGCACATACTTTGCTTGTATTTGCTGGTGCTTTTTGAAAGTTATCCATTCTTTACATTTCTTTTCAGCATTCTTTGTGCCAAACATTTCAAACTGAATGAAAAACTACTTTTTTCATAAGTAAATGATAAAATTTAAATAATATTTAAATTTCATTTAAGCATTCAAAGAACTACTTGAGTGAATGTTATTTTACGTTTTTACTTGGTCCTCCTAGTAGATAAGATGGATATATGTCAACTTTATTAGTAAGCAAATAAGTGGAAGGGTACATAATGAAAAGATTGATGTGAACATAAGATTTAAACAGATAGTACCAGTATATCAACATCTACTAGTACAGGTGAAGATGAAAATTAAAACACAAACTCAGTTGAAATCCTTGAAGAAAGATGGTTTATAAAGCAGTTCTGAAGAAAAAGATGGCAATTTAAAACATGGGTTGGTGAAAGTTGAAGTTGTACTTACAAACTCAGAGTTATACTTCTGTAGTCTAGTAGCACACTAACTCCTACATTAAAATATAATCTCCTTAGCGCGTTATAAACAGTGAAATAATATATGAACCTTATTTTTTAACATTTTTGAAGCATCCTCATCTATTTTTGACCAATTTCTGGCTTGCATTGATGAATAATTTATTTTTTAACTGATATCAGGGTGAAGATGGACTGCTGGAGGTCACCATCAAATACAATCACCTATTCCCTGTGATGAAGAAGTGTAGATTGCCTGAGACTCGCAAAGCCATGATCACCGCTGCTAATCAGAAGTATGGTTGTCTTCTGCATCTATTCTTTTATGGTGTCATGATATCTCTCACTTGAAATGAAGTAGGCCTCAGTTTGATTATAATTATCCTTTTTTTATCTTGACCAAGCATTATGTAAGTAATTGTAACCTTGTCTGTATTAGCTAATGAAGACTGATGAATTTGGTTTGAATTTGCATCTACCAATGTCCTTGTATATATTTATATTATATTCTAGGTGCATGTCAAACAACACGCCGCTGCTGGAAGAGCTTGTGAGAATTCGCCATGAGGCAGCACAGCTTCTTGGCTTCCCAACACACGCAGCCTTCATACTCAGTGACCGCATGGCCAAGACCACTGAAGCTGTGGCTGACTTCCTCACAGATCTGCATGCCAAACTGGAACCGCTTGCTCTCAAGGAGAGAGATGTGATGCTTCAACTCAAACAAGAAGAGGTACCTAAACTTAATTTGTGTAAAACTGCTTTTCTAAATGAAGAAAAGAGATGCTTCAACTCAAACAAGAAGAGGTACCTGAACTTAATTTGTGTGAAAATGTAGTTTTGTAATACTGAAGTCGTAATTTTGGCAATACTGCTTCTCTAAATGAAGAAAAGAGATGCTTCAACTCAAACAAGAAGAGGTACCTGAACTTAATTTTTGTAAAAAAATAGTTTTGTATTAATAAAGTTGTAATTTTGACAATACTGCTTCTCTAAATGAAGAAAAGATAGCTGTCTCTAGAACCCTTGAATTGCAGTTCACTGAGCTCGGTATGAAGTTTGAGGGAGAGCTGGAGCTCTGGGACATGCGCTACTACATGGACATGGTCGAGAAGAAGAAATATGCCGTCGATCACACCATTGTAAGAAGCAACTTTAATTTGACCCTATTTATGTTCAATGTTTTTTCTATGCTTTGAAAAACTACTGCATTGGTCTTTAAATGGGAAAAAACTTCCGTCAATGCCACTTTCTTCTCTCCCCACAGCACTGATGTCACCAGCCTTCAAAAGAATCAATCTATTTTTTTAAATAAAACTGAACCACAAGTTTCTAGCGTGATTGACGAAGCTCCTTAGTATTATGTGGTAATCCAACTTAACAAATCGTAATTCTGGCCAGTATTATACAGTTTTTATTGACGAGCGGCGAGTTAAGTACAGTTTCTGCCGAGTGGCATCTTATGCAGCATTGACGATAGTTAATAAAGTATCAAAACCTTCTCTGATTACCATTTTGGTTTCATGCCAAATTCATTTGCGCTGTCATTGTGTTTTATCACCCAGTTGATACTTCGGATAAAAACTGTGACTGCATGAATGAAATATTTAACATGGAAACTCAAATCCCTATCTACATTTGAGTTTACAAAATATTCTCCTTCTCTATTTTTTAAATTGAAAATTACCCTTCATTGCATTGATTAATGAATGATCTTTTTGTCAGCTGCGCGAATACTTCCCGCTCGAGCGCGTGCTGAGTGGCATGTTTGAGATCTACCAGAAGCTGCTGAGCGTCTCGTTCACCAAGGTTGATGACGCTGCTGTCTGGCATCAGGACGTCTCTATGGTGGGTGGCAAATCTTTTTTATAATAGATTGCAATTTTTTAATTTAAATAACCTCATGAAAATAAGGAAAATGGTTCAGAATATCATTCAAAATATTTGTGATAAACCAGGAATATAAATTTTATATAATATATATGTGAGCTGGTATTTATATAAGCTGGTGGCTCATCTAAGGAAAAAATCAAATCCCCTGTTATTGTATGCTAAGTTGTATATATTGTTCAACATTTGGTATTATTTGAACTTCCGTGATCACTTGAATTGAAAAAAATTGAATAATTTAAGTTATTTTTCTTCTGGATTTGCTATTCTTCTGGATTTAATTGTTTTCCTATACATTGCTATGTGAGTGATAATGATTTCTTGCTCCCTGTTGTCCAGTATTCAGTGAGTGACGCTGAAACAGCAGACTTGCTCGGTTACTTTTTCTTAGACCTGCACCCTCGCCCTGGGAAGTACAGCCATGCCGCCGTCTTCCCGCTCCAGCCAACTTGTCGGCCCGAGCCCAACTCTGAACGCCAGGTCTGGCTTGCTAGCACCTCTCATGATGTCTCATTAATTCTGTCAATAATCATGTCATTAATCCTGTCATTAATAGTGTCGTTAATCGTGTCATTAATCGTGTCATTAAACTTGCTAGCACCTTGCATGATGTCTCAATAATTCTGTCAATAATCATGTCATTAATCGGGTCATTAAGCATGTCTTTAATCATGTTATTAATCATGTCAGGAATCATGCCATTAATCATGTCATTAATCATGGCATTAATCATGTCATTAATCCTGCCATTAATCGTGTCATTAATCGCGTCATCAATCGTGTCATTAATCTTGTCATTAATCTTGTCAATAATCATCTCACTAATCATTGTATAATAACATCTTGTGCATTTTTGCCCCATTGATAATCGTGATAGTTTTGTGTAACATAGGGCTGGTTGGATTAGAGCTTTGAAAATTTCTGCCTTTACTGTAACTGTTTAAAATTATCACGAGATCACAAGTTGTTCTGATATAATAATGGTAAGTTCACCAGTACCTATTCATGAATAAATAATGCAAAGTTTCTTAGTACACTGTCTATATGGTATAACTTTGCTTTGTTGATAAATATCATTTATCTAGATTGAAGATGATTTCGCTTGTTAACTTGAATGAGAAATCTTGCCGTAGCTCACGTTTGCCGAACCCAGTAACGTTATGTGGGTACTTTGTATTGATCTTCATTCTTTATTGCTGCATCAGCCTACATGATCATAAACCAGAAACTTCATTGATGCTCCCAGGTCTCAGTATGCGCCATGCTGTGCAACTTCAGCAAACCGAGTGCCGAGAAGCCGGCGCTGCTGGAGCACTCCGAGGTCGAGACTTTATTCCACGAGTTTGGCCACGTGATGCACAACGTATGCAGTCGTGTTGACATCGCCATGTTCTGCGGCACCGCTGTAGCTCGTGACTTCGTCGAGGCTCCGTCACAGATGCTCGAAAATTGGGTTTGGCACAAGGAGCCTCTTGCGCTCATGAGCGCCCATTACAAGGTTATTTACTGCTTCCTGTTGGAGGGCTTATCTCTCTGTTGTATGGGAGGATCCTTCGATGTTTGATATTCTATTGTCTTCTCACGAGCTTATGAGCTGATGGCGATACTGAGCTTCAAATGTCTTGCTTAAACGTCTTTGACTAACCAAAGCATTTGTGTTTAGTTTACTTGCAATAATGTTCTCTACATCTAACAGTTCATTTCTCCTTACGATGTTAGGGAATAACAATTCCCAAGTTCAACTGAAACCATGATACTTATATATTGACGGGTATCAATTTAATGTTAAACTAATATGTTTTGAAGTTTTTTCTTTCATATACTTGAAATACTCAGGTAGTTTCGCTCTACCTTTCTTGAAATTCTGGCAATAAAATCCGAGTGTGTCACTAAACATCCTATTTATCCCCACTGCATCGCATGGATAGTCTTGAGCCTTTATTAAGATCCTCTACCAGCACCTAAAAATAACTAAAAACGTCTTGTTGTTTTGATTTTCATCTTATTACAAATTGATTTAATGTGTTGAGCAGACAGGAGAAGCAATTCCTGACGAGCTACTGCAGAAGTTGGCCACCTCCCGTAAAGCTAACGCCGGGCTCGTTAACATGAGGCAGATTGCCCTCGCTACATTCGACCAGGAAATCCATTCACGAGAGGTTCGTCTTGCTCCACTACTGGCATTTGATATGGAAATTTTTCTCTGTTGCGCAATTCACGTAAATTTGTATTTCCACGTCTATTTGTATATGTAAATTTAAATTACTAAGCAACTCATAGAGGGCTTTTGAAATGATTTGGCCGAGAGAGATATAATGTGACGGTTATACCAATGTTTTGTGTGATTAATGCGCTGAAATGAGTTGTATCAATTTATCATACGTTGAATAACCTTATAGCAAGTACACTCATGTAATATAGTACAGTCTTCAAATGAATCCAAAAATACTTGACCACAGACATGCTCAGTGGAACTTGTTGAAAACCTGCATGCTTAATTTGATACCATCATTTTACTGCGTGGATTGTTTTTTTCTAATAATTCCCTACAATTTGAACCTATTTTGTAATTTACTTGAATCTACCTTACAGAGTGTAGACACGGCAGCTCTGTTCGCTGAATTACACAAGAAAATTACTGGATTTGCTGTTGTTCCAAACACCAACATGCCTGCTAGCTTCGGTCATGTCGGAGGAGGCTACGACGCTCAGTATTATGGATATCTCGTAAGTGCATATGCATGTATAATGATCCTGTGTACCAGTACCTAACCCTGTGTGCCAGTATCTAACCCTGTGTGCCAGTAACTAACCCTGTGTGCCAGTAACTAACCCTGTATACCAGTATTATGAGCCGAAACGTCTGTAACGATTCTAGCGGTCCTTGAATATTTGAAATTATATTAAAAATTGAATTTATATAAAAATTCAGCTGGAACCCTATATTGTTCTCCTTAGTACCCTTCTACATATATTTTTTGACATTGATTCCCATCGCTACTAGTAACTTGACTCAGTATTATTACATCTTTTGCACCTTCCCTTCTATAATTTATTCCTGTTTTTTTTCTTTAGCGCCTCTGATTATCATTTTTTATGTAAATTGCATTAAATTAGTGAATAAGATGTTTAGATTGCATTTCAGTGTTTAAATTAAAATTTAGTTTGTTCATTACATCCCACAACATGATACCGCACTCTATGAAGCTCTTGATCTTTGTATTCAATTTAGCTTAATTCATCATGATCCTGTGGCTGCTTCATTACTTACCCTACGACGATTGATTATGCATACGTAAAATGATTGATTATGTTGTGTATGGTTGATTATTCATACGCCTTTTGTGTACATTGCAGTGGTCCGAGGTGTTCAGCATGGACATGTTCGACACCAAGTTCGCTGGTAAGGTGCTGGATGCGAGCGTCGGCAAGCAGTACCGTCGCCTGATCCTGGAGCGCGGTAACACCGTCGATGCCATGGACATGCTGGTAGAGTTTCTCGGCAGGCAGCCCAACAACGCAGCTTTTCTCAAGAGCAAGGGACTCTGATGATGCTGCATTGCCAGTTCGTGCTATTAACAAATTACCAGCTGGGCAGGATTATCATAACTTCGTAACTTTTTATACTTGTGCACAAAAAGACACGTGCACACCCTAGTTTGATGATATTGCTCATGATATTGCCAGTGAAGTTGTGAGTGCAGACCTGTGATTTTCGTGTAGTTCTTTTCATTATTTATATAATTTTGGGGTTTTAAGTTGAAAGAATAGTTTTTGTGTGTATCTCTCGTTAGCCAGCGTTCAGTTTTTTGATTTGGTCCACCGTGAATCGTTATAAAAGTTGGCAGTTGTGTCTTGTGAACGCATTGTTACTGCTTACTTTTGGTAATAATTGCAGATATATTAGGAAATGGTGTCCATGAAACTGTCGAATATTTCGATGCTGCCTTGAAATTGAAATTTGATTCACTCGGCTGGTGTGCAGCTTTTCAGTTCATGAAATTGTTTGCCGTTAGTGAAATTATATGCCATTTGAAGAAGATCGGCTCGAATTATGAATATCTTCATTTGCATCTCGATAAGCAGAAGTATCTGTAAGCTAATCCAGATACTCGGTAAGCTAATATCTACATAAGTGGCAAGTTTGGCCTGATGATTTAGCTCACATTTCCTTTTTTTTTTGTGGGAGTACATGCCTAATTGAAATAAGAGTGTGTTTCAGGATCGCAATCAAGATCTCTACGGTCTCATCTTTGGTCTTCATTGTGGTGTACGATATTTTGATTATTTCATTGTGATGAGTTTTAGGAAATTTTCCATGCTGTTATTTAACGAATAATGCTTTAATTGCCAACTAGAATGCAAATTTCTCCATGTTCCCAGCTATTTCAAAAGCTCTTATCTCTGGTGCAAGTCAAGTAACAACGTAGAAGTGCGTCATTCATTCAATGGATTAGAAAACAAATGATTCCCATTCTTTCTGTAAATTTTTGAGTGTTATTTGTGCATCTTCGTTTCAATTGACTTAATATAAGGACCACGTGTGTGGATATGTGTGATTTGGGTTAACTCTAAGCTAGTATGATTCTTGAAAAGGTAGCTACAATTTGACACGATCGTTATGTTCCAAGTACACGATCGTTATGTTCAATTGTATCAATCCTTATTGATATATATCATTAGGGCTTGATTTTTTCCATTAATTCGATGCAAGGATGCGTCAAACTGCAAGCTACCAAGAGCGTATATGAAGTTCATCGTGTTCTGGATTCATAAAATTCTGACAGCAGCGGGTGGATTTTTGTCGTGTTATCATATTTTTCTTGCCTTGTCCCATAGAAGTAGTATAGGTACAACCAAAGCACCAATTTCGTATGCATTAACTTGCAGAGGAGTTACGACTTACCATAACCCTCACGCAAGTCCTTATGTTCTGGCGTGTTATTCTATTGTTCATTATTGACGCATTCCCGCGTGATGCGTCGTCGATTTATGGCTCGACTAAAGTGAAGTAAGAATAGATAATTCATTGTTAGGGGGACGAGGGTGTCACAGATGTACGTCAATGCAAATTTTTATTTTATTTATAGTTTTTTTTTATATCTGACATTGGCAACGAGGTCGATCCAGCTGTACGTCAATGCAAATTCTTCTCTTTATTATGGGAACCAGAGTAGCTGGAGACTTGCAATGGTCCATTGTATGTTAATGTCAACGTTGCACGACTGCAGTCGACCAGGAGATCGGGTCTTGTGCAGTCGCGTTTCTGTAGTACCACTGGAAGTATTGACATATGCAGTGCAAAAACAGAAATATTTGGATTCGTTGCATTATTATTGAAAGGCAAAATTGTGGAAACTATAAAAATTGTAATGCGGCAAGTTCAAGCAACATCGAGAGTGGGACCAGATGGAATAAGGGTAAGAATGTTCGGTTAGAGGCTCCAAATTAGAGTGAAATTACTGCCCGATGTATGAAAGCAATAGCCTCAATAGCGGAATAGGTATTTTAAACCGGTTATTAGCAAGTAATGATTTACCAATATGAACAACACAAAGCGCAGAAAATTTAACTTTTCGTGTAAAAGGAAATAAATTGAATAGTACAAATTTTTAGTAGCTTGGTGTCCTAGTAGTAGACTTGTAAGTAAAACCATTGAAACAGCTATAATAGAATTGAATTATGTCAGTGCTCAAACTACGCGTAGAAAAATTTTCTTCCGAAGCTACGGATACGAACCTCTTATTTTGCCCACCGACTAAGGAGTAAGGACTTTTTTCTTCACCACGTGCCTTGCGTCCGGAGTCCGGACCGGACGAATAGCTAGCAGTCTGTCTGTTCAGACAGTTCAGTCAGCACTCAGCCTCATGGTTGAACTAGGTAGCAGGAAAGTTCAACCATGCGTCAGATGCAGGCGTTGGGCGAGACATATGGATACGAACCTCATGATGGCAATTCTAGTGAAAGAAAAAATTGACTTTGTGAGGTGAGGTTGTTGGAACTAGTAGGTAACTATTCCGCTACATTGGCTATATTTCAAACTCTGTCACGAGTTTCATCTCGCTAACTCATCTTAGTCTTGTCTGAAGGTTTGGGACAAGACAAATATTGCGAAATTTTAATGCAATCAATCATTCAATGGAAATGAGAAATGACCAAGGATAATAGAAGTAGGGTAAACGTAGTATATTCCGACATCGTAGGTAATTCCGTCACCTCTCCAGCTTTTCCTTTACATTAAGCTTTGTTTTAGTTCCATGCGTTTGTTGATGGTTGAAAATTGAAATGGTGACGTCATGCATTTGCGAGTCAAAATACTGCCAAAAGTAAAACACTAGGTCTTGGCCATCTAGTGGGAAAATATTGAGATCCAAAGAGAGACAATGCATGCCACGTGGTGAGATCATCAAAAAATGTGTCAAATTTGACAGTTGACATGGCTCTACCAAATAGTGAATACCTAACTGTTTTTATAGGAAGAATATTATGGTTTGAGACTTTTAAATACGTCTGTGAATATATTAGGAATCCTTTAAGTATACTTGTATTTGCTGATTTCAAGTCGTAAATAAATTAATAGATGATTGAGTTGAGATGTTGGATTTAGACACATGAAAACTAATTCCGACACAACTTGAATTGGACACACACAGATCGTTCAAAGCTTTGTACAAAAATTGAAATTTGCTTAATTAAAAGGCATAAAAGCCTAATAGCTGGCTATTAAAACGTAATTAAGTAGTGTTCAATATTCGTTAGTGTTCTAATTCAAAGCTGTGTTGTATCCCAATACAGCTCAACAGCAAACGGAATTCAAACACGTGGATGTTGGCAATACGTATCAGTTAAATTTGAAGCGCTGACGCAATACGACTCACCACGTGTCAAATATTGCCACACAAAGTGACGGAATATAGGGATTTGGTAGCATAGTGGCAAAGCAGAGAGTTTTTTAGACTCTGTCTCAAGTTCATTTTTGAGTCCTATAAGTAGATCAGTAATGAGTAAAGTATCATGGATACCAGCATTAGCATACTTAAGAAATTGGTTAAAATCTTGAGTAAATGAGAAAATTAAAAATGAACTGATTCTAAAAAATCTCTGGTTTGTCACTATGTTTGGTAGGTTTCCATTCTAAAGGCTTTTTAATAAATATGGCAACATTTTGTGACGTTCCAACGTTGCTGACGTGTAGTGAAGTGTTTTGAGAGCATGGTGGCAGGGAATTATTGTGAGTACTTATGCGTTTGCAAGAGCATCGCCCCTGTCTCTTATACACATCTAGATGTGTANTATACGATCGGTCCATAAAGAAGTGTTGATCGGTTCAAAATGACATAAGAACAGGTTCTTTTGAATAACCTATGGATTGGCACCATGTTTGAGAGTCATGTGAAGGCAACAGAACTTACGTAACACATACTTTTTTTTATAGTTTTTCATTTCTCGATGCGTCCTTAATGTGTCGACAGTGTCGGAATATACCGCGTTTACCCTATATTTTTGTCTCAAGCTTGAATTTTAAAATTTTCACAATCAATGACACATGATATATCATACCATAAAATGGGGTAATAAGGGATGGGTGGGGTGAATTGGGAGTGAGTGACTCACTATGTTTTTCACAATCTTTTTTTATTGTAAATTCACTTAACCCAATTAAAATGGTGTGAAATTACAAGCTGTCCTCAGTCTCCTGGATACAGAAAAAATGCTATAAGGCTGCTGATATGAAGCTTGTAGTGGACAAGGTTGTTGTAAATTCTCAATGGCATGTTCATTGATATGGTAATATTGCATCAATAATATGGTAGTTAATGTATATGGTAATATCTTATCAATAAAGGAAAAACAAGTAAAAATCACAGAAAATGTCATTTAGGGTAAACGCGGTATATTCCGACACATTAAGGACGCATCAAGAAATGAAAAACTAAAAAAAACCGTATGTGTTACGTAAGTTCTGTTGCCTTCACATGACTCTCAAAACACTTCACTACGCGTCAGCAACGATGAAACGTCACAAAATAATTTTTCGATGATCTCACCACGTGGCATGCATTGTCTCTCTTTGGATCTCAATATTTTCCCACTAGATGGCCAAGACCTAGTGTTTTTGCCGTATATCGACACGCAAATGTATGACGTCACCATTTCAACCATCAATGAACGCATGGAACTAAAACAAAGCTTAATATAAAGGAAATGCTGGAGAGGTTCAACAGGGCAACTCAGGACACGCTTTTTTTGCTTCTGGCACCTTACGAATAGCATATGGAATTTTTTTGGAGAAGCCATGTGATAGCCCTTGCAAAGAGCATTGAAAGGAGCCTAAACTTGTTTATGAAATGTTTCATGTAAGAAGTTATGAATGAAAAACGTTCAAAATTGTCCTGAGTAGCCCCAGTTGACGCCTGACGCCGACGGTACCGTCAAACGGGGTAAAAAGGGATGGTTTTGAGCGTTTTTTGTTAATAACTTCTTACCGTGAAACATTTCAGAAACAAGTTTAGGCTCATTTTATAGCTCTTTGCGAGGGCTATCGAATGGCATCTTCTAAAAATTCCATATGCTATTCGTAAAATACCAGACGCACAATAAAACCTTCCCGATTTATCCCCGGGAATGGGGTAACCCGGGAGGCCGGGACACTTGCAAAAGTTAATTTTAAAACGTTTGAAGCATGCAGAGTGTACCGATCAAATACGAAGTACCACCAAAAATTACCTACACAAATAAATAGCTACTTGAATGCATGGATAATACGAGAATTGCGCGCCAATTGAACAATTGAAGCCAATATCTTAGTTAATTTTTAACTTTATGCGTGCAAGCAAGAGAAAACGTGAGAGTTCTACCACACCCTAAACATCCTATAAGGAGCACAATAAGAAGTTCCCACAGCACAATAATTACATTAGACAAAAATCACATCATACATACAAAAATTTCTACCCTAAAAAAAATTCAATTATGCCACACAAAAATTAGATCAATAATTATTCTCCAATTGTCAATTCGTCACTGCCAGCTTTGAACCCCACACCATGGACCCACTTGATTAGAATAAATATGGTCTACTTCCTTCCTATTTTAGTTTAATTTATGGGTTGAACCTTGATGTAAATTATTTACGATTTTTACCCTACGATAAATTCATCCACTTCCAGTTATGACGTCAATCCTTTAACTTTTCTCTCCGTGTAATTTTTCATTCTGGTTTTAGCTATCATACTGTCAGGTTTCAGCACGAGGGCCGGCACAGTGAAAAAGTTCTCACGCTGGCAGCTACGACTTGACAAGGGAAAAAATACAAATAAGCATGTCAACTCTTATATACTTAAAGACAGCAAATCCCACCCTAATACAGAGCTGGGCACGGCAAAAATTGGCAACAAATTCCTAGGCCTAGCCTACCCATATTTGCAATTCCCAAGGAAGGCTACAATGCCCGCAAATAATTTAATCTTCACAATCGTACAAATAAAGAGGGCTAAAATGGGGATATTATTTCACCCGATCTTGAAAGGGGTACATCACCGGCTGGAATGAAGGCGAGCGTCGGCAACTTCTCAGGGGGGCTCGTTCGGTCACACTCCGGCAATACTTGGCTGCGGCGTTCGTTTCTTCGGCGTTGCGGACTAACGCGGAGGGTTGCTTCTTGAACACTTGTAGAACTTTGCTTCGAGGGAACTCACTCTGAGCGCGTATAACCAGGCTCGTGTTGTAGCTTTTGGCAGATGATACTAGTTGTCCGTCTTGATTTGTCGTTGCGGTCTAACGTGGAGGGTTGCTTCTTGAACACTTGTAGAACTTTTCTTCGATGGAACTCACTCTGAGCGCGTATAACCAGGCTCGCGTTGTAGCTTTTGGCAGATGATACTAGTTGTCCGTCTTGATTCGTCGTGGTTAACTTGCAAACTATCTCGCACCCGCGGAGCTGTTTCCACAAATGCGTCTGGCTCTCGGCTAAGTCGTAGAACGCCGCCCAGTAGCTCTACACGCCACTAACGCCGATACGGAACTGACTCGCGGTGGACCGCTCGCCCCTTAAATACTTCCCCGGTCTCGCGCATGCGCGCTAGACGGCTCGAGCTCCACACCCCTTAATTCAAAATTCGCTTCTAACCCGTAATCCCTATTCTTATCTTATTTATACTTTATTCCTATTCCTAATCATCGTCGGTTTTTAATAAATCTTTTAACGGTTATAGTTATACTCCTATACTAATCATACTCATCCATTACTAACAGTACTCTGAAGTCTTCTTTCATTGTAGATGATGTAGAGGCAGAATAAATGACATTTTCTGTGATTTTTAGTTGTTTTTTCTTTATTGATATGATATTACCATATACATTAATTACTGTATTATTGATGCAATATTACCGTATCAATGAACATGCCATTGAGCAATGAGCATTGACAACAACCTTGTCCACTGCAAGCTCCATATCAGCAGTCATGTAGCATTTCTTCTGTATCTGTAAGATTACAGGATGGTTTGTAAGTTCGCACAATTTTAATCAAGTCTAGTGATTTCACTATAACAAAAAAGATCAAGAAAAACATACCTGAAACAGAAAATAATGTTTTAGTGACAACCATCATATGTTTTGAAGAAGTAAATCATAGTTTAGGTCAATTATTTTTCATTCTATGATGCCCGGGGCACAATTCTATATATAGCATTCTATGTACAATTTTATGACGACCGATGATGCACTAATTTTTCGATAAGTAAATTTTTTTTGCTGAGCGACGTAAATATAATCAAAATTCTTGTTGTTAATCAATTTTTTTGTTAACTGGAGCCTTTGCTAACTGAGGTTCTACTGTATATGCATTTTTAAGGGTGTCCCTAATTACCCCGGGGCCCGGGGGGTGTCCCTTTTTACCCCATAGCGCAGAAATGGCTGCCATTTTTTTTAATGAGATGGGCAAATTCTGTCAATTACGTTTTCAAGCTGACACCTGGGTGCAACTTTTATGTAAGTAAAATTTTTCAGTCTGGCTAATATTTTTTTTTGCTCCAGACCTTAGCAGAGGTACTTTTCCAAAATGGCACTTTTCACACTTTTTTCAGTGATTTTTTAGAGATGGTAAATGTTTGATTTCTTGACTAGCTTTATACATAATAGATAGTAAAAATGTTGAAGTTTTTGCCACTATTTTCAGTTTTGCAATATTTTGATTAGTTTAGCTGCTACCGTAAAATGGGGTAACTTAGACCGGCGGGGTAACTTAGACCACTTTTCGTTTTTTTTTTACAAAAACCCCCACAACTCAGAAACTATTTGACATAGAAAAATTTTGTCAATGGGCATTAAAGGACTAATACTGAGGCTACATAATACAATAGAAAGATTTAAAAAGTTTGCATATCTAATAGGTTAAAAAATTAAAAATGTGACCCACAGGTCTAAGTTACCCCAAGAGCTGGGGTAACAAAGACCATCACTTTTTTTTAAATTACATAAAGACTATGAGAGGCAGGAGTCAGCAATTTATGGTGAGTGAAGCTAGAGTATAGACCTGTATTTTGCATGTTTCAATTCAAGTTTAATTTAGCTAGTAAGAAAATGGCATCATTTATAAGAAAAAAAGTGGTCTAAGTTACCCCATTTTACGGTACAACATTTATATGAAATGTGGGACGCGCATCCCTATTTACCCCACCCGTCCCTTTTTACCCCATTTGACAGTATTTAATGAGCAAAAATATCAACTGGCAACATGACAAAACAGGCAAAAATCTTTTGACTTGGATCCCCTCATTTCACATTCTTGGCTCTAGGTTTTTAGTAATGACTTGTATTTTTAAAACTGGGTTTTTAGACTTCAGTGGGTTTAGGCCAAAAATAAAAGCAAACCTAAAGTTATAGTCTCAAAAAGCATACTGAGTTTAATTATAATTAAAGAAAAAATGTTTTTTAAGACTTATGGTGGTTCTTCTTAGCATATTTTCTCATTTATGGAAAAAAGGCACTATTGTGCTTGCCATGTCCGTCCGTCTATCCGTCCATCCGTCCGTCCGTCCGTGACTTCACGTTTTTGTCAATGAGAAAATATGCACTCTGTCACTCACTGCAGTGAGTACCTACTGAGTTATGTTTTTTTTTTATTTCAATTTGAGGAAAAATAGTATGCAAATTGATAACCACCAAACTTGGAATTGATGTTAGAGTTACAGTTTCGATTGTGCTAATGTAAAATTGTTATAAAAATATCAGTAAAGTAATTTCCTCCAGAAATAATGTGATTTTTTATCTCATTGCTCAATAATAAATCCTGAATGACTATAGAACAAGTTGGGGGCCTAGTAATATTTAGGTAATTTTTATTGGATTTTTTTTCTACCTCATAGTGCATGGGTTGTTTCTAGAGTCAAGCACTATACAGTATTACTGGTACCATATACCTTATTTAAGGTTCATGGCATCATTTGTTTATTTGTGTAAGAAACCACAAAGCATAATTACAAAAAGTCTTGTCACTTCTTTATGTTGGTATACCTAGATCTTAGGAATCTAGTATTATTAACTTTGTACTGTGGGAATAAATTTTTATTTGTGGTATCTGGTTTTCTCTATCATTGTTATTTATTTCAGGTACTATTAGAAATCAAACAGTGACAAGTTAAAACATCAAGTATGCTTTATCTTGAAGATATTATTGAAGTTATTGAAAATGTTCCTCAAGAGATTCGTGATAGGACCACAGAGCTGCGTGAACTTGATCTGAGTATTCAGAATGCCCATGACAAGCTGGAGGAACAGGTCAGGGCTTTTTTCAGCACTGCTAAAAAAATGAAGCCCCAAGAACGTGATGCTATTTATGAAAGAATAAGAAAAGACTACTACAAACTACTTGATGATGCAGATGAAAAAGTTGATGTTGCCACTAACATGTATGATTCTCTAGAGCGCTACACAAGAAAATTAGATCAGGAGCTAGAGAAATTCAAGTATGAGCTTGAAGCTGACAGTCCTGGGATTACAGAAGTTTTAGAGAAGCGATCTTTGGAACTAGATGAACCGATCAAAGAAAACCAAAAGGAAAATCGGTACCATCATCAATATGGAAACTCACGCAGCAGCAGTAGCAGCAGTGATTGGAGATCTCTGCCATCATCAGCTTTGGTTAAAAAAGAAGAAGGCATTGAGGCTCAGTTTGGGCCTGGGTTATCTTCTTCTCCCCCGTCTTCATTATCTTACACACTTGGTCAAATTGGTGCTGGTAGCAACGCCATTGCGGCTGCTGCTTCTCAGGTGAAAATACTTTGCTTTTAGTTGTTCAACTTGAGAAACAAGAATGCCTGCCTGATGTCCTAAATTAAGTTTCAAATTATATTTAGAAAATTGCTTGTTTCTGGATATTTGCATTGAACACCCAAATTCTGATTCATTGCTAATTTTCTTCTAAAGAATTTGGGAAGATAGTATTGCTGGCTTTGGTTCCAAATTTTGAGCACAGCAGCATTGATGAAATTAAGAGACACTCCGAAGACTTGTATAAAAGCTTCTAAATTTGTTTCAAATTGGGTATTATAGATTTATGACCAATATTGTTTTCAAAGCATTGTGTTAATAGAAATAATTTGAATCCTAATTTTATTCCTCGAGTTAATCAGGTAACAGTTTTTACTGTTTGCATGTTGAACCGTTCGTTTTTGTGAGATTTGTAACAAGAATTTCATGTTACAGGCAATAGCTGCAACGCAGCAACTCCAGCAGGGGCGTCGCAGTGCCAGCCTTAAGGCATCTTACGATGCCATTGCACACGGCGTGCACGCCTCCGAGTTCTCAATTGGCACCGAACTCGCAACTGCCGCGCAAACTGCCCTGGCTGCCTCTGCCCTGCCTCAGGACTCAACCGCCGCAAGCACCAGTGGTGCCAACGTTCCTGTTGGCAGTCTTAGCGCCGTGACTAAAACCAGCGGGACGTCAGGCTCTTCTACAACTAAGAGACAAAAGAAGAAACATACTAATGTTAATTCTTCTGCTCCTTCTTTGGACCCAGCATTAGCTGCTGCTGCTGTCGTTACTGATGAGACCGTCGCCGAGGCTGGTGCTATCGAAAGTCCTGACTGGACATATGATCCCAACGAGCCGCGTTACTGTGTCTGCAATCAAGTGTCTTACGGTGACATGGTGGCGTGCGACAACCCACGTTGCCTGGTTGAATGGTTCCATTACCCGTGTGTGGACATCACATCGCCTCCAAAGGGCAAATGGTTCTGTCCGCCATGTTCTGTTTCCATGAACAGGCGCCAGAAGAAGTGAACGCCCGTCCCCTAGCCATACAAATTGATTCTCTCTTGTGTGCAGTTATGTGTTTATAGTTAAATAATCAATAATTATTTAACTGTAGATAGTTTAACCATCTATCTCTGATCTCAGTTATATGTAGATATTGGAACGCATCATCTCAGTTACGGTATATGAAGATGGTCGACTCATCTAAGCATCGCTTCTTCAATTTTGAGTTGATATTTTAAATTTGTGTGCCATCAAACTGTTGTGCAGCCTCTACGTGATCTCCTGTACATGCTACACGAAACGCAACTCCCCATGTTATTTTTGGAAATTAAGTGACGATCATAAGGGCCGAAAATGCGCTCATTAAAGAAATGTTTCACTAACTCTTCATAATTTATTTTCTTCTAAATTTCAAATATTTTTTTATTGGTGAAATTTGCGTAAAAGTTTTCCTTAGGGTACGAGTTTCAGTTCTGAACACACATCGGGGTTTATTGCAGTAAGAAATTTCTGCTTGAGAATGGAAACACGAGGCCACGTGTAGCATCAAGACAAAGGCGTCGTCCGAATAAATGATGAGAATATACTTTGTTTGTTTCCAATGGACTTCTTCGACGAGTTCAATAACGTCAGCGAAGTTATTTAACAACTTTAATAAATTATCGGTGTTGTACTGACTGTTGACTCTCTACGATGCGCATAGCATTTAAAATTTGAAAGCATAGCATAGCATTTGTAACATGAAAGGGTTTAGTGGGAACAAAAATTTATTTTGCGTTTGTGAATAGCAGTTGAACTTTGAGTAGTTGATGAACTTGGCTTAAACGATTCAACTCGCAATTGATAAGCGGCTTCGAATCAATATATTTGCAAATGGACGTAATTATTTTATATCTTTTTAGGAAGGAATTAATCACATGGAAGTTGTAAGTATGAGTTTTCGGGCTGTATCCGTCGGTTAACTCATCTCAAGAAATAAGATAAAACAAATAGAAGATTCGTTCAGCTTCTCATACTTCTGATAGGCATTATTTACATACATTGTGAAATTGTAGAAACTTTGTAATAAACATTCTGCTGCCGTGACTTGGGTGTTTCTTTATCACCATAAAGAGACATGATGCCTATGAAAACATCGTTAATTTTGGATCTGGTATTCGTTCAGGGACGTTTGTTACGAGAAATTTACTCATAATTGTCATAGAACGTTTGAAACTTGAACTTGAATTCCGTTTGAATAATCAATTGCACGTACCTACATTTACATGAAGCAATTCATAGGACGGCGAGTTATTATCAATCAAATTTTCTGCTAACAAGTAACATACCTACGCGAGCAACAACGTGTTAGCAAAAAAATGCAAGTGAATGTTTAACTGATGAGAACTTTCGATCTTTTACTTGCACTGTCAAAATGTATGGATTAAGTTTTAATTGCAGTCACACTAGAGGGAGGCTTGTGGTCGCGTTGTTCCCAAGGAAGTGCCAGCGAACTTATAATGACAATAATCTATTCAGAGGCGTTATTATTGCAAGGCGTTAAAAAATAATAACGCTCTTAGGTGGTTGAGGTGACAGACGCGTCAGTACCAGGCACCGGGCAGGTGAAGGTGAAGGTTCATGCAGCTGGGGTGAACTACTACGACCTCTACACGAGCTACGGCATCAACGCCACCGACGACGCCCCTCGCCTGCTGGGGCTCGAGGCTGCTGGCGTGGTCGTTGCCGTTGGTTCCAAAACCTCCCTCAAGGTACCTCCTTCTTTCCCTCAGGGTACCTTCTTTCCCTCAAGGTATCTCCTTCCTTCCCTCAATAAACCTCTATATCTCACTCAATGTGTGTGTTTCCCTCCCTCAATTTAATATCTGCTATCCCTCAAGGTATCTTTTTTACTCTAGGCACCTCCTTACCTCACTGAGGGTATCTCCTTACAAAGGTACCTCTTTTCCTTGTTCAACATTTCTCTTTTTTTTTCTAATAAACAACTCCATCCCTCATTCAAGGAATCACCTTCCATGTTATGGTAGGTACTTCATTCCATCCCTCGAATTGCCTTCTTTTCTTACTCGAGGTGCCCCATCACTTATCTATTCTTTTGCGGCAGCCACCTTCCATCACCGAAGGCGAGGTACTTTTCTTTCTTTCTCAGAGTACCTATTTGCCATCAAATTCTGCATAGAGTTTGAAGACATTCATTCAATATGTGTCGGTCTTTAGTTTGTACTGGACGACGATATATTTTTACAGAAACGGTTTAGTAAATGAAAATAGGCATATGTGCCAAAATTTTGGCGATCTACAACACCAAATAGACGTCATAAACTTGCTTCATATTCACGGTAATATATGAAGCTCGCCGTTCAAAAAATTAAATCTGGCTCAACAAATTCATTCGTCTGAAACACATTGATAGAAACACCTTGCTGATGAGTCGAGGTCACGATGGAGTTTACCGGTATCAAATTATTGTTCAGAATGCAAGTCTTTTGTTTTTCTTTGTTCCTGAGTCTTTTCTTCCACAATGATTAGAATCCTGTGTGTGTGGTAGCCTGGTGACCGAGTGGTAGTTCACTGTCCCGCTGGCGGTGCTTTCTGCGATTTCGTCACGGTGTCTGACGACCAGGTGATGTTGCTGCCAAACTCCATCAGTTTTGCTGACGCCGCCTGCCTCACCGTCAGCTACCTGACAGCTCACTTCGCCCTCCACCTCGCCGGGGGCCTGCGCCCCAACGGTTCTGTCTTCATCCATTCAGTGGCAGGTACAAACCGCAAGTCTACAAACTCAGTTTAAATTATTTTTCTCAGACACACGAGTACGGTCGTGTTTTTTTTGTACTATTGAGTTTAAACTTCAATCGAAACATACATGAAAATAAAGTCAGAAAAGATTGTAAAATCTATACATACTATAAAATTCTTTGTCGCTAAGGCTGCACTTCTACGGGGTGGTAATTATTTGGTTCTCCTCTTCAAGTTCTTGTTGACATCTTCACTGAATAAAGTTACCCTGCAGGGTCTGTGGGGTGGGCAGCGACGCAGCTCGCCCTACAGGTCGCGGGAGTTAGGGTTGTGGGCACGACGTCGTCCTCCAAGATGGCCGCCGTCCAGGCAAATGGCGTCCATCTCGCCATCAGCAACGATCAGGTAATTTCTTCTTATATATTTCATGTAAATTTGAACAATTAACAAAATAGGTAAATTATATACTAATTATTACTTCTATATACGATGCTCTAGGTTGAAAAAGTGACCAATTCAGTTGAATACTCAAATGCACTGATTACCGGAATAAATTTCACGACAGCTTAAGATATAATTCGTAAAATGAATATAAAGTGATGAGGTCCGCATTAGTGACAAGCAATGAACGTTATTCAGGACTACGTGGCTGCGGTGAAGGCGGCGCTGCCGGAGGGCGTGTCGCTGGTGCTGGACTGCCACGCGGGGCCTCATCTCGCGCGCGGCCTCGACATGCTCCAGCCTCTCGGCAAGGTGAAGAGTAAAAACGGAATTAGTGCGATATTGGAACAGAATAAATAAAAAAAAATATAACATAGTACTCACTGCAGTGAGTGACATAGAGCGCATTTTCTCGTCGACAAAAACTTGAGGTCACGGACAGACGGATGGACATGGCGAGCACAATAGTGCATTTTTTTCGTAAATGAGAAAATGCGCTAAAAATATTGATAAAAAGCTCGATTGTAAACGGACTCTTGTTGTAATTTGGTTAGGATCGCCAATAAGATAGTTTGTCAGGTCTGTTTCAGGCATCTAAACCTGGTGTTATTTACATTGATCCTAATAGGTTCTACTTGGGTGGAAAAGCTTCACTTTTGCAAATAACCCTGTCCCAGCCATCGCAACATTTATGTATCCAATCTCTCACATGAATAACTGTTTGCTCGATTAATCACTTGTATTGAAATTTTATTTCTCTATTATTTAATGTCTAGCCGTCAGCGAGGCATTTGAGTTTTACGTATCATCATCAAAGTGACAAAATGTTCAACGTTTATTGCACCCAAGCATTCAAAGAGAAAAATTTGTGCCATTTACACTCATTGTGGTCATGTAGAATACTTTCGTTTATTCTCCAGCATCTTTGGTAGCTGGCGAAGCTTTGTGAATTGGACAGATAGGATGTTCCATGATCATGTATACGGGAATGAACTAGATTCTCCTAACCCGCCCTATCAGGATGGCCCAGTGGTTACAGTTCAGAGTACCAAGATTGGCGCAGAGAGGCGCGGGTTCGATCCCAGCTCTGTGCGCCAGTTTCTGGTCAGAATCGGCAAGGAGGCCAGGCGGTTAAGCAGAGCAGAATTGTATAGCAGTGCGTTGCGAGTTCGAGACCGCGACAAGCTGTGGATGTTCTGCGATGTTAAGAATCGGCGACAGGCCTATGTCCTAATTAACGCTGAAACCACTATTATTATTACTATTATTATCACTAACATCTCTTTAGAAATGTTGATCGCTGGAGACGCCCGAAAGAATATCCTTTTATGCTTTAGTGTAGAAATTAAATAATTTTTATACCGATTGCTGTGTTGAATATTAAATATTCGATTTTAAGATTCAGCAAAACAGTAGTTAAAAATACTGGTAATGGTGATGAAAAAATATCTCGTATAACCGTCATCGTATGCAAGCCAAAATTAACACTCATTGTATATTTATGATCCCTGCATTCGCCCGAGGTAAGTAATGTTTTTGTACGCTGGGTTCTACTCATATTTCGGTTCATTGACTTAGTGTGTAAACAAAAATTTGAAAATAATGAGTGATATGCTTCCAGGTGGTTGTGATAGGCGCCAAAGAAATGATAACCAAGACCGGTGTCTGTGACATAAACACCCCGGACGTTTCGCCATTGACGCTCATGCTGAGGAACGTTGGCGTTGCTGGTGAGACGCGCAATGAAATAACTTTAAAGCCCTCTGAGGTAAAGTCGTTATTTGAAACACGTACTCCATTGCATGACATTTCATTGTCAATCCAATATTATTTATAACACATCACTAATGCTGCTCTAACGGATTTTAGTTCTCCTGAAAGTTGTTAATAAAGTGTGCTAGAGATAAGAATTGTCTCGACTTCAGGACTTCACCTGACGCAGCTGCAGCGGGAGGCTCCCACTGCGTTCCGAGCAGCATGGCGGGAAATATTGGACTTTGCGGCCACTGGTATCATTCGTCCCGCCATCTACCGAAGATTCCCCATCGAGGAGGTGGATGAAGCTTGTCGACAAATCCTCGACCGGCACAATATTGGGAAAATTATTATTGAATTCAACGAATAATTGCACTAGCGGGGAGAACAATAACCACGTGTTTTTGGTACCTTACAATTTACACCTTAACCGCACTGCAGGCAGACCGGCGTGCGTGCGATGGCGCCTACTTGTACGCATACAGTGAAAGCAGGTTGCCGGCGTGCTGGTTACCTGCTCAGGCTGGCGCCTGAAACCATAGAATACTGAAGCCTATTCGTACAGGTTTTCACTGTGAACACTTACATTATTATCCTATGTTCATTCTTGTGGCAGGTTGAAACCATAGCATACAGAAGCCTATTCGTACAGGTTTTCACTGTGAACACTTACATTATTATCCTATGTTCATTCTTGTGGCAGGTTGGAGCAGGTTGCCCGCGCGAGCAAACCTGCTTCCACTGTGTGCGTACCCTAAGCGCTGTAATTAATTGTGAAATCATCATGTAAATTCAGCTGTCAATAATAAATTATTGATTCTTTTGTCTGTTAATTAATTGTTCTGATGAAGGGGATCTGCTAACGAGATTGAATTTTGAAAGAACCTAATTATAAATAGTATACTTTCATGTCAGGTTATATGGATCTTTCGCTCACGAAGGATCTTTGCAGGGGGGTTTTAAGATGAATGCTGTTTACCTAGCAAGCTACTTCTTCATTTATGAAAGTAAGGTACAAAAAACGCTCGTACAAAGAACACTGCTGGTCCCTCAAAGCAGTAACGCATTTGTTTTTTTTTCAAGATATGAACCACAAGTAGAACAACTTTAGACCAGGCATATATTATCAGTGTGCTTGAATCGCAAGTTCACAAGGAATTTAAAAGCAAAGAAAATGCCTAGCAAATTCGCCTTCTCGATATTGAAAACGTTTTGAAGAACACCTCCATCGTCAGTTCGACGAAGTGAATGTGAACTGATGATTGAGCTGGACTCCGAAACGTTTTCAATATCGATATGGTGAATTTGCTTGGCATTTTTTGCTCTTAAATTCCTTATTCCATAACAATATAGCATTCGATTTTGCGGTATTGCAAAAGTATTCACTGGATAGCATCAACTGATGGATAGCGCAATGATCAATATCCATAGGGGCGCTGAATAGCCAACAATGTTTTTTCTCTAGCCTAAATTACTGCACTATATTAGATTATAAAAATCCTATTCCGCATTTTTTCGTATTAAATTAGGTATGTAGATAAGGTGGTGACTTTGGTCGCTCATTTCAGGGATGGAACAAATAGGTAGAGCAAAGGTTTTCGTTATGTTGTTCGCCAATGGTTGCGTACTTGCCTCCATTTTTCGTATTTGCAAAAATAATTTAGTCAGCTCTCTTCCTGGTTACTAATTTCATTTGTTCGTTCCCTTTATTTTATTCATGCGAGCATAATCAATTTTTTGACCGGCCAAACATATACCAGTTACTGCCTTTGGACGTACTATTTAACCAAATTTACGATTGGCTGCTGAGCTTGTCACATGACTATTTACCGGAAAAAAAAACTTATTTTGAACTTATGTTTCACTTCCTCTCTTTAGGGTTGAAACTTCAACATTTACCTTAAGTTCGGCCACTGGCTCCACTCCTGCATGGCCGAATTTTGCGAGTCGAGGCCGTTCGTAGTGTATTAACGCAAAGTTTAACATGCCTTTATTCCATATCCGTATCGGATTACCGAAATCATTTTAGAAGGAGCATCATTTCTTTAATCGATATCAAACATCAACAAAACGAATCCAGTATTTCAAAACTTTGAAGCTATGATTTCAACTCCAGAATTAATAACCCGGTTACCCGAACTCATGATTGAATTAATATTCAACCCTGTATTCAACCAAGTATTAATTCAACCATGTGATTAAGTATTAATTCAACCTCTTGATGTGAGTTATCCATTCTGCGCACTCTTCGTCTCGTCAGTTTTAGTATTGGTATATAAGTGCGACTAGAGGGATACCGCCGCGCGCTTCTATATGTTCCACCTAAATTTGAAACCATCAAAGTATATTTGTTTATATTATCTTATGTTTATTTTGAATAATTCTGATAAGCTTTGTCCTTAATTATTTTCAGTTCTCTTCTCAATCTCCGCATGCTGCTGCAGAACTCCGTTGATAAAAGTTACTAATTGACTGAAAATAAAACTGCGTTCAAATTTTATGTCTATACTTTTGCCTTCTAAGTTTCACAATTATTAATTGTTTCATTTGTTGCTTAAATTGGAATCTTTTGTGATGGCTCAAGAAATAGAACGATTGCCGCTAGACTGAAGCTCGATTACTCAGCAATGTATGTTATATGTCGTACGTTGGCTGAGTTAGCAGACGTTCCAATTCGCTGTTAAAGACTCGTATTATTTGAAATGTCTCGGGAGTTTCAAAGCATACTTGGTGTTTATAGTTTCTGTTTACTATTAGTGTTATTGCGGCATCTAGTCTCTTGAATGTTCATCTGAGCCTTCAATAAAATTAATAAAGACATATGAAGTGCCAATTCCATCATGGCCCAAACTTGTCATTCAGATCGAGTATAAAGTTTTACGAGACTCGAATAGATTTGCATTGATTTCACTACACGGTGCTCCCGTATTTTTTTCGAGATTTCGTGCAAGACTCCGGTATAAAAGCCATTTGGTTTCGGAGCTGGAAAGTTGTTTTATATCAAGCATTGAGAGATGACTCATCATTCGTAACTATAATAGAATTTTATGTTCAAAGAATTTGAAATGCGAGTTTCGATGTTGGATTTGACGACACGAGATACTGAAGGTTTTGAGAAATTTATTTGCAGCCGCTGCGTGCCGACGCTCATCCAGTGCGCCTCCATAGTAGTTTTCTTCGCCATGCAGGCTTCAGCTGGCCGCTCGGTGCAATGAAACGTAAATGGTGGTTTCGTATCATAAATGTGACTGATACAATTTTATTTCACAGATCGATTATTCTTTCTTCGCAACAAACATTGACAAGTTTTCGTTGACTGGCCTTCGTAATGCGTTATCATTTACATTTACTTATCTATCAATGCAATGTCGAAATAACTTTATTGGAAAGTTCGCACATTGCAATGAGAATGTAATATTTGTATCGATTCTACATGTAATTCCTTCGACGTTGAATGCTGAGAATTCATGGACCGCATTGCACTCAAGCTGGCAGCAGGTCTCTTCGCTCTAGGTATTATCACAAAAAAACATTCGGACAACATTCGACAATGAGCTGATGGAGCCGTCTTTCGAGTCACAGCTGTCATTTTATTTGGGTGAAAATAAATTGGGAAATGATCTTTATTACGCCATCTCCAATTTATACTGGATTAAGTTATAAGGACATACTTCTGTTTCCAATAAGTTTCGACTACGTAGTCCTGTACATCCGAAGATCAAATTATATGTACGATGAATTGATTGGCATGCAGCGTTTCCTTTCAATTTGTTGAAATGAACACATGTTCGATGCGAGCGACCTTCATGCGTCTATGGAGGCGACAGTAGTTGAACGAATACCGACGATTTGCAGCAATTTGAGAATATTAAGTAATGTTAGACTGAACCGAATGTTTCAACTGAATGAATCACACTTTTTCATTTTTACTAAGCTACCTGTTAATTAATATTAGCTGGTTTAAAAATAATGAAGGTCGAAGAGATAAATCATGAAAATTGTCCTTTAAGCCCTAAATAATAAATTGTTAAATGAATTTCAATTAATGTGAGTTGTAGTAAATTTGAAGGTTCCAAATTTAAATCCTGTGTTTAGTTTTCTTTGTGGCTTCCGTATTGTGATTCCGTAATTATCACAAAAACTGAGAATGAATATTTATTCAATCCTTCATTTATGCTTTCTTCGGAAATTTTAGTGAAGTGGTGACGCTATTTTAAATTTGTTAGTTACTTAAAATTAATCACCGGAGTTCAAGATAGTTATGACAAGCTTCTAAAAATTAAAATGGAGCCAAATTACACTTCCCACGTCACTTTGCTTCTAAAACAAAAGCTTTTAATTTAAGCTTTTAGATTCATTTGGCAAAATAAATTTCGTTGGATTTTAACTTGCAGTTATAAGTGACAATATTAACTGTTATTATTATATTAACTGTTGTTATTAACTATCATGAAACGATCAAGTTCGTTGCTCAGTTGGATGAAATCACAGCTTGCAAAAATTACGATGAATGTGAGTGTGATCAAATACCATTATAGACGGTAAAGAAATATTTACTTATTGAGAATAGCCTCAGAAATTTTCTTTATGCTAACTGCTGGAAGCCTAATAATATAAAGCTTTCATTACCAAAGGAAAATAACGATATTCACTTTCGCATGAATTATAACTCGACAGGCGCACTAATAAGTGCGTATCTTACATTCATCATTGCATTAATGAAGTTCAGAAATGACAAGGCGAGACCAGAGCGTTCTTTGGCATTCGCTTTTTATTCATGTTGGGCCAGAGTTAACTCTGTAATTTACCACTCGAGGCGTGATGTTGGGGGAAGCTCAAGGTACTTGCTACGATGACCGTCAGGTGGCGCTGTGAAGGTAAACACATTTCAGTCATTGATCATACTCTTCAAGCAATGTAAACATAACTCAGTTCCAGCAATCAGCATGAAATGTTCTCGTTTACAGTGAAATATGAACCTTCCCGTACTTCGCGAGTGAGTGGAACGTTGAGAGACGTTAAAATGTTAAGTTCAATATATTTTATTTAAATCCAAAAGGGCTGCTATTTACCGTGCGTGAAATTGACTATCCATTTAATTTCAGTAGTTAAGATCGAACAATCCTTTAAAAAATTCGCGGTAGCTTCTTTACAGTTGATTGATTGACAAATAGAAGTTTAAGGGATGCGTTTAGAGAGCGCTTTAAAATACAATTTTTAAAGAAAAATTCTCATATCACGATTCTCGTATCAAGAAATTTAATCCAGAAAATGACTTGTACCTTACTCAAAATATCTCAGGGCTATGAATAATTATCCACCTATGCAACGAACTTTTAATTAAAGCCAAGTGTAACAATTGTGCTTTTACTCTCCAGAAGGCCCGTGCGAGGCTTAGTATGTACAACAATTGCATGCAGACCAAAGTTGACTTGAGGCAAATGTTCGGTGCAGCGAACACTTC